GGTGAAGACTGGCCCCCGGGAGCCGGTGTGCTGGACGACGTGGGTGGTCCTGGGAGCCTGGCCTGCTCTCGCCCTGCTGGGAGTGTTGGTGCAATGGAGGGTGACGGCGGAAGGTTACTCCCACACCAAGGGTGAGTCAGGGACAGACATTTGGAGTATGTGACACACACTGTTCCTGTAGATTTACTGTACTGTAGAGAGGATTGGGTGAATGTGTTTGTGTGGAGAGCGGCAGATGGTTCCTGTCTGTCGGTGTGCTCTCAGGCCCATGTGAGTAATGAGCACTGAAACAATCACGCAGAGCTGAGCATCAGGTCACAGAGAGAGTCTGTTTCTGGTTTAGGAAAGTGTGCGTCTACTAAAGGGTTTGTATTAATGTCAAACTTCTTTAAGGGGTAGTTCACGCAAATGTGAAATGTTTTTATTAATTCTGAGGTTATAAAAGATGTAGGATTTTTTTTTTCGGTAAAATGTTGAACATTTTAGGTGATACCGTAAATACAAGTGAACAGCAGTGCCAGCATGTTGAGGATGAATATACACAAATGCGAAGCTAAATATATACCTGTTAATTCTAATTATACATTGAGGTCTTGTAAAATGAAATGATTGGTTTAAGAAATTGAAAATAATTTTTACAACATTACATTTACGTTTAGTCATTTGGCAGACGCTTGTTTCTAAAGGGACTCACAATTGAGGAGACATTCAACAAGAAAAGGCCATACACTATGGTTGGGCTATGTTGACCAATTCGGCATTGTAGGATGTCCAGTGTAAAACATCGCGATGGATGATGTCATCGTAGGCAGGGGTGAATTAATTATTTATGAATAATTAATTTATAACAAACTAATTTTTTGCAACCCACCGTTTCAACTACCTGACCACATGGTCTTTGTTTTACCATAACCAAATCATAAATAAATAAAGACAAGTTACACAAAAATGAACACCTGTCAATCACTTTTTACACTGGACTCGCATGACAGGAATAGGCAGAGGGATCCGTGTCATTATAATGGGATTGACACTTGGTTGGTAAAAAAGGGAACAGGAACCAACCAACAGCATCTGAGGTTTTTGCAAAAATTAGCGTACAACCGTGAAAGTGAATGAATAAAGCAGTTTACTGACGCTGTGACACGTTACCTGATAGATTCAAAAGCCCAAGAGTCGTTAGAAAGAGACAAGGTTAATCAAATATCACGTTTAACAACTATAGGGAGATGCAATCCAGCGGTACATCATCAATAAACTGTCTGACGTGCACTGCTCTCTGGGGTTTTGTGCTCAAAGCACCCGCTGACTGCCTGGAGCTCAGACGTGTGCATATGCGAGAGTGCATGACATAGTGTTTGTTGTTTGTGTGTCTGTGTGTGGTCACAGTTACGTGATGTGCTTTTTCAGCAGTATAGCGTGGACGGATGGCTTTTCTGAAATGCTAGATGAAACGCTGGTGTGGACGTGGATTGTTTTCACTCTGAAATGCCATTAGTGTAAACGGGGCCTAATTGTATATTTTTCGCGAGCGGTTGCTGCTGCGATAGAGGTGGAGCAGAGGATTGCAATGCCGACCCAGCATCGTGATGTCTATCAGCCATTGGTGATGGATGATGGCATCGTCTCTCGACCCAACACTGCCGTATACACAGAAAGTGCAAGTTTTACAAAGGAACTGTTAGTGCTCAGAGAATTAGGTGCTAGAGTAGGGGGAGTGTTTTTTTTTCTTTTTATAGAAAAAGAAGAGTGTTTCTAAAGGTGGTTTGTCCAATAGTATCTGGATGCAAGCTGAGATTGCATCATGCAAAGCTGAGATTGCATCACTCAGCGATGCAATGTCAGACACAATTCACTCAAATGAAGTGAGTGACGTCACTGTGAGGGGTAGGGTTAGGGGTGGGGTTAGGTGAGCCCATTAAAAAGCATTGGATGCAGCTCAGATTGCACTGCACCAGGTCTGCATCCAGACCCCTCTCGGTTTGTCAAGCCCACTCACATGTTTGAAGCACACTTTATAAATGAATTTAAATTTTACTTTATTTTAAAGGTGCAATAGAATGAAAAAAACTGGATATACCTAGACATGACATGCTGTGAGCCTCAAACATGATTGGCTATAGTTGTGAGTGTAATATCCCTGTGAAAAACTAACTTTCCAATCAGAACAAAACACCAACTGTTGCATTGCACATTAGATCATTATTATGCACATCTCAGTCAGTGCATTGGCCACAATGTTTCTTATGCCGAGTTCAGACTGCATGATTTTCACAGTAGTCGTGTCACAGATGTTTTCACACTGCTTGACTATCTGGGCTAGCGTTTCTTCGCTGCTTTGTTTACACTGCAAGATGGATCGGCGACACGACAGGGACTTTCACATTGCATGACTTTACTATAGGAAAAATCGCCGACAAGTTCGTCCGAACTACGTCTCACAGCCAAAAACACATAGTATATCTTTTTTTATTAACTACATAATGAGAAAGAAGCCTTTAATGGGGTAGAAAATGTACATATTTGCTCACCTGGGTTTAAAGGGAATTAGCCATTTCTCCTCAACGTTGATAATAAACTAATTTATTTCTGTATGAAACGTCAAACAGACACTGTTGCTCCTGAGTCCTGTCAAACCTCCACTGGTTTTTCCTCCATTTCGTGGGTCCAAACAAACCGAAAATGAGCGCTTTTAACTTCTCCCCCAGCCTCCCGCTGGCCTGCAGCAGTTATACACACACACGCACACACAAGTGAATGCTGCTCTCTCATTGGCTGTAGGCGATCGCCGATGTTATTTTCAGTCAAAACTCAATTCACACGGCATGATTTGAATCGCCGACAGCTCCAGATATTTAGCACACCAAATATCTCGCAGGCATCGGCGACTCATCGGCGATTCTCTCAGATCGCTTCTTTGATAGTTCATACTGTGTGATTGTCACTCACGTGCACGAGCAGCGATTTGCCTGTGATTTCAGGCATTTGTCGGCGATTTCTCAAAACCTGTCGGCGAGACAAAATCGGGGCTAAAATCATGCTGTCTGAACTAGGCATTAGGGTGCTCTCACACTAGCACTTTTAGTCCACTTTTGGTCTGCACCCGGGTTCGTTTAACGTCATAGTACGGTACGTTTAGCTAGTGTAAACGTGTCTTCTGAACTCAGGTGCGCACATGTGAACCGTACCCGAGTCTGCCTGTTTTTCAGATAAACAAAAATGTTCACTTAGCATGTTTCTTATATATCTTCAAACGTATTAAAGTATTTTTATGCTTTAGAAGAGTCGAAAACTTACAACCTTAAAGAGAAAGCATTTTTAAAATCTTGTTATTATGCCTAAAATGTGGCTTATAAAGTTTTACAGTCTTGTTAACAAGTTAGTTGTGAGTATTAATATTATAAGCACTCTTATAAAATACCCTATAAAATTGCAGGAAGGGAAACCCCTTGAAACAACAAGATATTAACCTTAGTTCAGTTACGAAATTTATTATTCTCAAATAAAGCAAACTAATTCCTGCAGTCTACGCTAGGCAGACCTTTCATGCAGTTGTGAGAATGTTCTGCGATTCCTAAAAACATATTGCATCACATATTTTCAAGAAATAAACTTTCTGTTTGTACTTTTCTCACAGTTTAGATTATTGCTGGTAAGACTTTCTCACAGTTTAGAATTTATTTCTTATTTTATTTGTCTTTTAATGGTGAATCTGGATGAAATAAAACCATTTTGATCACATGAATTATGACTTCAGAATAATCTATTGTGTGCTATCCCTATTCACACACACTCTCATTCACTTTAGTTGTATAGAAAGAGAACATGAGAAGATCTACAACATGATCATGTGAAGTTTAATGTCTTATAATGTTCAAAATGCGTGTTAATGCTGGTCTTTGTCTGTTTGTCAGTGATGATCAGTCGTCAGCAGCGGCGGGTTCAGCTCATGCGTATTCGTCAGAAAGAGGAGAGGCGGGAGAGCAGCAGGAAGAAGAAGAGGAAGCAGCCGCAGAGCGCACAGCACACGCATGCTGCCAAAGCTCTGCATCCGGAGCCTGCCTACCGCAGAAAACCCAACCCTATACGACGCTTCGATGGAGACGTGCTTTCTCCTGTGAGTCCACATACACCTCCTCCACATGCGAACCTACAGCACTCCAGTCTATTCACGCATACATACTGGAGGGACAGTAGTAGAGTAGGCATAAGATTCTGATGGTATAAGCTTAGGTAGAAATATCACGGTATGACGCTATTGTGATTACTGCTAAAGTGTTCTTTTTAAATGTCTGTGTAAAAACAAATTACTACTTTTCCCCCATTGAACACAATATATTTTATTTTAAGAAACATTTGAAATAGTTTGTACCTGTAAACATGTCAGGCTAAATAGTTCAAATAAATCATTAGTTCAAAAACACAACAACTTAAAAAGGCATCTTTGGATAACTTAGTTTTCTTTGGATATAAAGTAAGCCACTGCACTGTTCAGGTCTATAGCATGATTGGTTTGGTTGTCGGTGTATAAGCCATTCTGTTTTTCAAATGTCTCCTGAATCGTGAGCTGACAAGTAGCTTTGGATCTAGGTGGTCCTTTTCTGTTGGAGATACTGTTGCCCTAAAAAACTAAATAAAATAGTCATAAAAAGGTAAACCTTGAAACCAGTTATCGGCTCATGGCTATAATGGAGCTTGTGGCTAAAAAACAATACATTGAAAGTGAAAACAAATGCCATTCAAACACTGAAAGAATTTCTATGATAGTGTAGTTGTATTTAATTGCATTCAAATCATCCCCTCACCATCCAGTTGTTTCGGGACTGACTGAGTTTCACTCTTCTGTTAAACACACACACACACACACACACACACACACACACACACACACACACAAACAATAATAATTAATTAATTAATTAATCAGTTATTAGAAATGAGTTATTAAAACTATTGTTAAGAAATGTGTTGAAAAAAATCTTCTCTCCGCTAAACAAAAATTGGGGAAAAAATGTATTCGTAATTTAAAAAAAATGTTTACTAACTGACCACCAAGAAATCTCACAATCATAGATATATGTGTATGTCTCTGGCTCTGGATAGCCACAGTCCTCCACTGCACCTTGGTCTCGCATTAATTGTAAAGGAGCGCTACACTGTACTAAAATGGTGGCTCCATTTACTCATTCCTTCCAATAGACAACAATAGGGTAGGCTACATCTAATGTAAATATTTGTGTCTGGTAAGAACTTTTTTTAGCGTAGCTTAGCATAAACCATTAAATCTGATTAGACCATTAGCATCTTGCTCAAAAAAAAATAATGTTTTGATAAATTCGCTTGACTTAGTTACACCATGTGCTTAGACCAACAGCAAATAAGTTGCCATTTTCTAGGCTGATATAGCAAGGAACTATGTTGTAATAATAATAAAGGAACTGCTGTTTAACAGGTGTGAGTATAGTTGACAATCTACATTGTAATGGTGACTTGACTCTCAGAAGACCTGTTAATGTATACAATTTTTTATGCAAACCACAATTACACTGTGGCTTCTATGGAAGCTTGTTTCCAACATTTTTTTAAAAATATATATTTTGCAGTAAAATTTTGAATATATCTGTCTATATCTAATTATTATTATATCTAAATTATTAACCCTCTTGAGATTTTTTTTTTTTTTTTTTTTTTTAATATATACATTTTTTATATTTCCCAAAGGATGTTTAACAGAGCAAGGAATTTTTCACAGTATTTCTTCTGCAAAAAGTCTTATTTGTTTTATTTTGGCTAGAATTAAAATAGTTTTTAATATATAAAAAAAAAACATTTTAGGGTCTAAATCAGCCGTTTTAAACAATATTTTTTTTCAATTTGTCTACAGAACAAACCATTAAACATTGATTTGCCTAATTTGCTTAATTAAACTAGTTAAGCCTTTAAATTGCACCTTTTAAGCTGATTACTAGTATCTTGAAATTTATCTAGTAAAATATTACGCACTGTCATCATGGCAAAGATAAAAGAAATCACTTAATAGTCACTAAAACTATTATGTTCAGAAATGTGTTGTAAAAAAAGTTTAAAACGCATATTGGGGGGGAAATACACAGGTGGGCTGATAATTATGACTTCAACTCTGTGTTTTTCTCTCCAACAGAGCTATATCCAGAGTTTCCGGGACCGTCAGGTGGATGGTCGTGCTTATCCAGTAGGTGGACTGATGCCTTCAGGCCACACAAGTGTGGATATGGACTATGACTGTGGCTCCACCGTCCCGCTCACTGCTGGGGTTGGACCACACGTCCGGGTCTGACCACTCTTACTTACAAATAAACACACACACACACACACAAACACAAATCCGGTGCTGACCTGACCCGGAGTCTCGCACGCACAGAGGCTCGGGTCCCCTCACCATTCGGGACAAATAAACAAACAATTCAAGCACTTGTAACTATTAAAATACTGGACGCCTCATTCTGAGACCACGGTTGTATCGAAGAGCTGCTTTCAAACACACACAATAACACTAACACACTTTACCCGAACATGTGCCTGAAGTGTGGCATTCTGTTCACTTACTATACAAACCACTATCGACTAAACTAAACTAACTGGGCTCCATTTCTGTCGAAGCGTTCAGTGTGGTGAATTCGTGTTCATCGATGTCTCGTTTCCGTTTGTGACGAATTCATCAGTCGGTGCTCAATCTCGTCTTCGTTCTCTTAATGCTGACTCCCATTTTAAAGTGTGTCATAGTAAAGTCCGTGGATTCCAGCACCAGTGTTTTTGTACTGTGAGATCCCGCTTTCTGGCCCAGGACCGTACCAAAAAAAAAAAAAAAAACGTCAAGCAGGGGTGCCTTGGAGACACCAGTGAGAAACTCCCTCTCAGGAGAATTTAACCTCCTTAGCCTTGTTTCAGAAAGGCTGTAGGGCAAAGAGCCATATTATTGCTGATCAGAGCCACTCTGGGACGCAGAGCTGAACGCCTGGTGATGAAGCCAACGGAAAAGAGGGAAGATGATACTCAGGGACAGCGCCAAATGAAGGTTTGGGGTGGGGGACCACTATGAATCGTGAGGACGTAGTTTGAAAAGCGCAACAGGGACGTCACCATGACTGTTCAGTCACTGCAGTGTGTTAAACTAGTTTGCAAGTCAGCATTTGCGGGACGTGATTATGGCTGAGGAGCAAAACTAAAAAAAGACCCCCGCGATCCTTTGGGGCAAAACTTGCATGACATAACCACCATCATTTTCAGTCTTCATACAAACAACTGAAACAAGCTGTGGTGTCTCTTTCTTCCTCTCACTTTTTTCGTTTTTAATCTATGTTGTGTACATACAATGCATATTTAGTATAACCATTTCAACATGGCCTCATATTTATTAGATATCTGTTTACTTCGAATTGATTTTCTTTAAGGGATTGCGAGTCCTGGCAGGTGGATAAATGGTGGTATTTATTTGTGTGTTCATTCAGTCATGTTTTTCTTTATCATTTACTGTCTAATAACAGAGTGTAGTCTTAAAGACGGGAAGTCCACATGCAATGAAACCTTTGACAATCTGACATTGACTCTTTCCTTCTTTTTTGGGACACTGTACAACAGCATGTGTTTGTATGGGCCTGCTTATTATGGTAAACTTTGTGAAATCACTGCGTCTTTTGTCATCTATGATTCATCTGACTTTATTTCTTGTGCTTTTTTTTATACAGGAAAATATGAAGAAACCAGTTTTAAAAATTCGGTTTAGTTTTAGCTTTATTCCTTTAACTACTGATGACATTTCTTCTAAACTTAAATTCTGGGGAGGAGGTTGTTGCATAAATTAACAGACAATACTTTTGTTTTAAGTTCAGAAGTGTTAGGATTTATTAATTTATTTTTTGGATTGAAATCAAATGATATTAGGAAATATTTAAAAGACCTTTATAGAACAAAACAAAAAATGTAACTATTAAATCCAGAGCAACTGAGAATTTGAATAGTCTCTTAAAAATATTTTCAATTATTTTTCTCTTTAGCTTTAGGGGTTTTTTAATACTTTAAAAAAGAAAAAATCCGTTTGTTTGGATTTAATTTTAATTTTGATTTTAATTTTATTTTTATTCTGTTAAATACTGATGACATTTCTTCTGAACTTAAACTAATTTAAAACTAATTTTGGGGAGGAGGTTGTTGCATAAATTAACACAAATAGTGTTGTTTTAAGTTCAGAAGTGTTCAACATTTTTTATTTATTTTTTTGCGATTAAAAAATGATATTAAGAAGAAAAATTATAAGACCTTTATAGAATAAATAAAAGTTAATCCTAATAAATGCAGTCTCTTTAAAAAAAAATAATAAATTCTCTGTAGCTTTAGGTGTTTTTTTTACTGTAAAATATGAAGTTCAGAAGTGTTGAGAATTATCTTTATTTTATTTTTTGAGGTGGACAAAAAAAAAATGATCTTGAGAAGAAAAGCAAATTTTTAAAAAAAAATATTAAAACCTTTATAGAATAAAACAAAAAATACACCTAATCCAGAGGTGTAAAATCCAGAGCAACTGAAAATTTAAATGGTGTCCTAAATCTTTACCCTCCATAGCTTGAGGTGTTTTTTATTCTCCTTTACAGCTGTGGAAATTATGAAGAAACCGGTTAAATACATTCCAGTTTCTTTGAATCTCATTTTATTTTTATTCTGTAACTACTGATGACGTTTCTTCTGAACCTAATATTTTTAATGCTGTTTTAGCCCGGATTATTTTAATTTTCACAAAACACAATACAGTTGTTTTTTTTTTTTTTTTTTTCTGAATTTTGTTTTATAAAGGGGAAAAAGTTTGAACAAATAAATCCCATACCTAATAAGTCAAGAGCAACTGAGAATGTAAATAGTCTCTTAAGAAAAAAAAAAAAATTCTAATATGTTTCTCCATAGCTCTAGATCTGGGGTGTCCAAACTCGGTCCTGGAGAGTTTAGCTTCAACCCTAATAAAACGCCTGAACCAAGCTCCTTCAAGGTATACTAGAAACTTTCTGGCAGGTATGTCGAAGCAAGTTGGAGCTAAACTCTCCAGGACACTGGCCCTCCAGGACTGAGTTTGGGCACCCCTGCTCTAGATGTACAAACAGAGATGAGACACAATAACGTAATGTTGGTTAAAGTCATTTTATTTGAGCTTATATTTGGCACCATTGTTACAATTTTCTTTGTGTCTTCTGCCTCTGTTCTCTTCATTTACTGCACTTTTTTTCGTTAATATTACGTTTTCTGCTTCATCTAAAACTTGCTTCAAATACACCTTCATTCCAAACTTGACACGTATGTACTGTAACTAGATGAACTAAAAACAAAGTGAAAAGAAAGGAATCTCTACTGGACCCACTCATGCAGATGTGCTCGTATCACTTTTTGGATGTGTGTAGGATGTAAAGAGAACTACCGGAAATTATCCTATAGCTTTTATTTGGATCTTTCTGTGATTTGTGTTTGGTTGCAGCTGCTGGTCCGAGGTTTACATGAGGTCCTGCTGGTGCTGTGTAGATTCACTCACCACCTGTAGGGGGCAGCAGACTGGTTTAAATGCACTGCAACATCACTTCCTGTCAATCATTCCTGTAGAGAATGTCGTTTCATTTAATGGTTTGCAATATTGGAGTTCATACTTAATCAGATCTTTTATTTAAACTTAAAATTTGTTTTATTGTGCCAAAATAAAGAGTAATTAATTATTTTGAGACAAAATGTCAAACTAAACAAAAATATCTGTGTACAGTTTTCACATGTGTTTTCGGTTTGTTTACAGTTGTGAATTGCATTTGTCCATCACTTCTCTGTTAGGTTGGTGTGCCAAATCAAAGGTAACCATGGGTCACCTTTTGCTGGCAGGCCCTAATTTGGGCATCTCTGCTCTAGTGGAAATGACAGAGTGCAGAAACACTGCTGTTCTTTTTCAGTGTAGATCGACTGAATTGCAGACTTCTGCTCTCTGATTGGCCTTCTGGACTTTTGAGTATTACTTACCAATTCATCAAGCACTGATTATGTTGACCATTATATACTGGATATACTGGACAGATCAGATGGTGGCAAATATGCACATGCCCAGTAAGCATGAATGGTCACATATTATGGGTTTTAGGCTGTATATTTTGGATGTTATTTTCAGAAATACGCTAAAAACACCAGTCTGGAGGAGGAGTGTTTTCATTCTGAAACAAAAACGCACTTGTGAAAACTGCACCTGAGAGTGTGTGTGTGTGTGTGTGTGTGTGTGTGTGTGTGTGTGTGTGTGTGTGTGTGTGTGTGTGTGTGTGTGTGTGTGTGTGTGTGTGTGTGTGTGTGTGTGTGTGTGTGTGTGTTTGGGCAGTTTACATGGTTTATAAGAACACAAATGTGTATAAGGACATGCTAGGTATAAAATGTAAACATGGTTTATGAGGACATTTCATGTGTTCTTGTAAATTAAAAGGATTAAAAATACAAAATTTTGGTTTTTGTAAGGGTTGGGTTTGGGGGGGAGGTGTTTTACAGTATAAAAAATATTTTATCTATGGGTGTCCCTGTAATCTACAAGGTGTGTGTGTGTGTGTGTGTGTGTGTGTGTGTGTGTGTGTGTGTGTGTGTCCCTCACACCTCTCCATCACGTGTCTCGATGGTCTTGATCAGGACCGTTTTCTTTGAGTGCATTTCAGACGCTCTTTGTTGATGCTCTGGGCTCGTCTCTGATGAAAATGATATTACACAGTATCAATGCTGGCTTCTGCACAAATCCTTTGTTGTTCCAACACAAATCCATTAAGTTAAATCTATTGTTTTTACATATTTAAGTGGATTGAACATAAAACAATTGCTTTGTTCCAAATAAAGCTCAGCTCTTTTTAAGTAGTTTTAACTAGCAGCAAACTCATTTGTTGTGTAGTCTACCATTAAAAAGTCTGAGGACATTAAGATTTTATTGTTTTAATTATATATTTATTTAGAGTTTCTTTTTCCAATGATGCATTTATCTGATCAAAAAAACAGTTCAATATTTTGTGAAACAGTAATACAAGATAAAACATCAGTTTTCTGTATGAATATATTGCGTTTATACTTGTGTATATTTATTTTTTAATAGTTTATTGTTAGTTCATGTTAGCTCAGGTGCAATAATCTTATTTTATATTTTGATCATTTAAAAATAGTCTAAGTTACATCACTTTTAAACGATTTGCTTTAGAGTTTTTCATTTTTTAAATTTACTAATATAATCAACTATTATAGTATAATAAGTATTACAGCATCTCATGTTAAAAATGTTGATAATTGTTATTTCTGGTATTTTTTTTTTTATTGGATAAACAATTATGCCATCAAACTGTTGTATAAACACAATATCACACGAGTAGCAGTGTGATATGGCTGTATATCGGCACTGGTGGGGGCACTAAAGCATCACACGACTCCCACCAGTGGTGATATGCAGCCATATCGCACTGCTACTCGTGTGATATTGCTCATATATAGTAACAATGTAGTCTTGCAATTATGATCAATTTAATGCATCATTGTTGGATAAAAGTAATAATTTAAAAAAGCACCAAAAGTTACATAATTATATTCAATTATACTGTATTTAACACTCATTTAAATCAGCATGTTCAATTCCTTTTTTGAAAGGAAAGAAAATCAAACGCAGAGTATCACTAATTACATCAACATCATACAGCGCCTCCTAGCGGCCCTTGACACAACACTTTAACAACATTTCCAATAAAACTAACAATAAACTTTCCATCTTACCTCTAAAGCTTATAGTGGAATACGACTGCATGGGCATCACAATCCTTAAACACAAGATAAAATGACATCAGAACACCCAAAACCAAAATAATAGCACATTTCACACCACACTAGATTCAGACCACTGGATTCAGGTTTCCAAGTGGAAGAGACTTACAGTACATTGTGAACTGGTTGACTGCAGCTACTGAGAATGTGCACATACATATAGTGTATTTTTGTGACGCAGTACTATAAATACATTTTATAACTGTAGGGGGTTAGACCAGGGGTGTCCAATCCTGTTCCTAGAGATCTACCTTCCTGCAGAGTTCAGCTGCAACCTTGATCAAACGTGCCAGTCTTTAATAACCAAGTGCTCTTTCAGATCCTACTTAGTTGTTTTTGATCAGTTAGAGCTGAATTCTGCAGGAAGGTAGATCTCCGGGAATAGAATTGGACACCCCTGGGGTAAACAATAATAAAACGTAACAGGTTACGCTTAAGGGGTAGGGTTAGGCTAGTGGTGGGCAAAGCAAGCCTTTATGAAACACTGCAACAGAAGAAGTTAATGTGCCGAAGCTTCGAAATGTTTCGAAACCTGTCTCTACAGTGACACCTAGTGGTCATTTTAATGTATTGCTCTAGAACAGCTTCAGCAAAAAAAAATAAAAAATAAATAAATAATAATAAATACAGTTAAGGAAATTAAGGGGTTATGCCCCATGTTGTAGAGTTGAGATTTCAAGTGATTTAGGGAAGCGGTGAGAGTTCCAGACTAGCATGCTGAGATCATGCATGGTTTCAAATGCAGGGTGCAGCTATAGATGTTAGTTTTTAAATGCTCTGTTTTTGTAAAGCATTTTGTTTTAACATTGGTCTAAGATCCAAATGAACACTTTGTTAATAATTATGTCTTGTTTTGGTCATAAAAAAAGTTACTTTATTAAAATACATCAAGGGTCCGTTCTTCGTACCTCGCTTAAATGATCTAAGATGATTTGGCAGATCCTGGATCTTTTCATCTTGATAACTGATCTCTCGCTAATTTGGTTCTTCAAACAAGTTCGCGAATCAGATTAGAATGTCTGGATAAACTGATCTGAGATCGCTGCGTGTGTTGTGAAGGACAGATCTATCGATCCTCGAAATCATGATCAGCAATGCAACGATTGGCTGACGGCACAGCAGCGTAATAACATCATCTGATTAATATTCAATTATCCATGTGAGCAAAATTACATCAAATTAGCAGTAAACGGCTTGTTAAATATGACACGCAATAACCTTCCACATTTGTTGTGAGCTGCAGGCTTTACACTTTCATGTGTCAAGAGTATTCATCATGTATTTCAATGCAAATCAATGTATTTAGTTCTACATTTAGAAAATATTTTCTTTATTATAGTAGCTGTTTTTTAATCGGTGTAAAGAATAACTGGTTGTTTACAAAAGCATTTTGATATTGGTAAAGGCGTCTGCAACTTTTGTGAAGCATCAAAACACTGGCATATTAACTAGCAAAACATGTTTATGACTGCATAAATGTATTATTGCTTTAAAAGAAAAAAGTCACATATTGTGCATTCCTATTATACACAATTTGTACTAAAGCGATCTAAAACGTTCATATCAATAAGTTTTCTCTTTGTACCACCAGGTGGCAGTCTTTGTACTTTCATTTCGATGGTGCAGATTGCATAAGTTTTATTAATATGTATAACTTTATTTATTTTATTAATAACCATAACTTTATATATATATAGTTAAAAAATATGTACCATTTTCCCAAGTGTATATAACTACTACTGTAAGAAAATATCAGAATTCAGAACATACTTTCTCTATTATCTTTGCTTGAACTGAGCCGATCTAATCCTGTTTATATGAATTGAACCTGCTCCCGATCAGGTTTGACCTAGCAGAACTGTTGCCATGACAACAATTCTCAGATCATCTTTGAAGAACGAAACGATCCTGGATCGTGTCAAATCGTCAATATTCAAATCCAGCTTACTGAGTAATCCACGTACGAAGAACGGACCCCAGGTCATAATTTCGGAGTAACTTATTTGTACAAGTTGGGATTTAAACCAGGGCTATTGACAGCACAGTTGCTCTGTGCACAAGCTACATGAGATACAGATTTTTTTTTTTTCCTTAGCCTGGACAGTCAAATGCAGATTCACCAGGTCTCAAAACATTTCTGAAATTAATCGATTAATGTGACCTGGGTGTTTCGAATCACTTTTGTCACGTGACCTGGATGTTTTGAATCACCTTATTTACGTGACCTGGGTGTTTTGAATCACCTTTTCCACATGACCTGGGTGTTTTGAATCACCTTTTCCACATGACCTGGGTGTTTTGAATCACCTTTTCCACATGACCTGGGTGTTTTGAATCACCTTTTCCACATGACCTGGGTGTTTTGAATCACCTTAGTCACGTGACCTGGGGTCCGTTCTTCGTACCTCGCTTAAATGATCTAAGATTATTTGGCAGATTCTGGATCTGTTCATCTTGATAACTGATCTCTCGCTAATTTGGTTCTTCAAACAAGTTCGCGAATCAGATTAGAATGTCTGGATGAACTGATCTGAGATCGCTGCGTGTGTTGTGAAGGACAGATCTATCGATCCTCGAAATCATGATCAGCAATGCAACGATTGGCTGACGGCACAGCAGCGTAATGACATCATCTGATTAATATTCAATTATCCATGTGAGCAAAATTACATCAAATTAGCAGTAAACGGTGCGTTAAATATGACACGCAATAACCTTCCACATTTGTTGTGAGCTGCAGGCTTTACACTTTCATTTGTCAAGACAAGAGTATTCATCATGTATTTAAATGCAAATCAATGTATTTAGTTCTACGTTTAGAAAAGATTTTCTTTATAATAGTAGCCGTTTTTTAATCGGTGTAAAGAATAACTGAATGTTTACAAAAGCATTTTCATATTGGTAAAGGCGTCTGCAACTTTTGTGAAGCATCAAATCACTGGCATATTAACTATCAAAATATGTTTATGACTGCATAAATGTATTATTGCTTAAAAAAAATCACATATTGTACATTTCTATTATACACAATTTGTTCTAAAGCGATCTAAAAAGTTCATATCAATAAGTTTTCTCTTTGCACCACCAGGTGGCAGTCTTTGTACTTTCATTTCGAGGGTGCAGATTGCATACGTTTTATTAATATGTATAACTTTATTTATTTTATTAATGACTATAACTTTATATATATATTTAAAAATTATGTATTATTTTCCAAGTGTATATGACTACTACTGTAAGAAAATATCAGAATTCGGTACATACTTTCTGTATTATCTTTGCTTGAACTGAGCCGATCTAATCCTGTTTATATGAATTAAACCTGCTCCCGATCAGGTTTGACCTAGCAGAACTGTTGCCATGACAACAACTCTCGGATCAGCTTTGAAGAACGAAACGATCCTGGATCGTGTCAAATCGTCAATATCCAAATCCAGCTAACTGAGTAATCCACGTACGAAGAACGGACCCCTGGTGTGTCAAAAAACTTTAGTCATGTGACCTGGGTGTTTTGAATATCCTTCGTCACATAACCTGGGTGTTTCGAATCACCTTTTTCGAGTGGCCTGGGTGTTTCGAATCACCTTATTTACGTGACCTGGGTGTTTTGAATTACCTTAGTCACGTGATCTGGGTGTTTTTAATCACCTTATTTACGTGACCTGGGTGTTTTGAATCACCTTTTCCACGTGACTTGGGTGTTTGGGTGTTTTGAATCACCTTAGTCACGTGACCTGGTGTGTCAAAACACTTTAGCCATGTGACCTGGGTGTTTCGAATCACCTTAGTCACGTGACCTGGGTGTTTTGAATCACCTTATTTACGTGACCTGGGTGTTTCGAATCACCTTCGTCATGTAACCTAGCCGTTTCGAATCAACTTAGTCATGTGACCTGGGTGTTTCGAATCACCTTAGTCACGTGACCTGGTTGTTTCGGTTCATGCTTTGATGAAGTCTTCCAAAACACTTGCACTTTGGGTTCTCAACACCTGTGTCATAACAAAAGTTTCATGTCAGCCATAGGAAAGGACGAAAATGAAGTGCAGGGAGTTGCGAAAGAAAGGAAAAGTGAACAGCGAGCGGATGGGGGAGAAGGGGGATCGGTAAAATCAGGTGCCAGATCAGATTTTAGAGGTTCCGGATCTGGCATGTTCCGGCACAAATTAAGCCCTGGCTGTAGTGTGTGTGAAAATGCGAGAGTGTATGTGTGTTTCCCAGTACAATAAGGCTGTGTAAAACATATGCCAGAAAAATTTGTGGTTCATTCCACTGTGGCAACCCCCGATAAATAAGGGTTTAGGCTGAAGGAATTAATAAATACGTTCTTAGGCTAGCTCATTTAATCATACAAAATCGCGACTGATCCGCTATATTACACAACTATTGTTTAGCCCAGCCTGTATTTAGTGGTATGGCCTGAAACTAGTGCGGGTCTGCAGCTGGATATAATTCAAAACAGGTAGATCCCTGTGCTTTTATCTGTACCTGCTCTCCTCTCCTTCCAGCAGCTTCCTATAAGTGGCGATCTCCACATCCAGGGCCATCTTCACATTCAGCAGGTCCTGGTATTCTCGCAGGTGCCGCGCCATCTCGTCCTTCATGTTGGCGATCTCCGCCTCCAGCCTGGCGATGGTGTCCTGAAGAGCGCCTGCTTCACGGCCGTGCCGGTCCTCCATATCCCTCATCTGCCTCATCAGAGACTCGTTCTGCAGAGCGAGAGAGAAAGAGGTCAGTGCTGCAAAAGAGCAAAACAGATGCATCCCGCAGCAGATACACATACAGAGCCCTTGAGGGAGTCGATCTCGCAGGTGTAAGACTGGATCTGGTGTCTGTACTCCATCGTCTCCAGCTTGGATTGTTTCAGGGCCTCGTTATTCTTGCTCACAGCCTGGTTAAGATCCGACACCTGATGAGGGAAATAGAGATGAGCTGCTTCTCTTGTTTTGCTCTTTTTTTTTTTTTTTTTCCTTTTCTCATTCCACTTTTTTTATAACTTAAAGGTTTAGTTCACCAAATTAAATTAATTCTGTTATTAATTACTCACCCTCATATCATTCCAAACCACTGAGGCCTTCGTTCATCTTTGGTACACAAACTAAAATATTTTAGATTAAATTAGAGAGCTCTCTCATTCTCCATTGACAGCAATGTTCCCAAAGCATTGACAAAACATACCATGTGATTTCAGCGGATAAACTCTAATCATACTAAGCTCCAAGAACACTTTTGTGTGGCAAAACAAAACTGATATGCTGTGATCATACCAGACACGTCTTGCACGAATAAATCACATTATTTACGCGTAAATGTATGCGTGAACATTTTGAGTTTAATCCCTTTATTTGCACGTCAAATTTGCTTCATTCACGCATCAAATTCACTTGACAGTAGACGCAGATTTGCATGATGGGCAGGGCTTCTGTCAGCCTGGTGACTCTAGCTTCATTGCTAAATAGCAAAAACATGGATTTTGTTGAGAGAGTAGCTGTGCTTTATGTGCTTTTGGAAGGCTGAAAAACAGTGTATATTCATTCGCCGCTGTGTCTGAGTGCACTACATCCTTTCAGAGGTGCACCCAGCTTTGTGAGTTCATCAGCTCCTCCAGAAACTATACCTGGATGATGGAGGATTTCAGCAGTGCTTCCGATTGAGCAGAGCCCAGTTTTCCAGTGTCGGCAAGAGGATTTCCCCTCGGGACACCAACAACAGGCACTATGTCATAATCAAGCCCATATGAGAGCAAGCTCCTGATTGGTTAACGAGGCATGAATATCCGCTAATGTTCAGATTTTCCAACTTAACGATTTGATAGAATTGAGTGTTTTGCACGTTTGATGTGCCACAGGATGTCTTTTCACATATTTGCATTGACTTAACATGTAAATCACTCGCGATTAATAGACTTTGTTAGCCTGTCTTCTCTCCCAAGTCAGAGTGTGCATTTACTACTTTTCTTGGACATCTTGAGATGTTGCTATTCGTTTGTTAAGTGTGACGTCACATGAAGCGGCTTTCGGGTCCAAACGCTTTATCAAATTGTATGGGCAGACTCATCAAATGGAAATAATAAACAATTACAAAGCGATGTAATACTTTCGAAAATCATGATCATGTCCGCTGTTCACTTTCACTTTCTACTGCGACTCCCCAACCGTCTTCTCTTTCGTACACGACAACCCCCCGCTCTTCACTTTCGTCCGCTACACCCCTCTGCCTTCCAACGCCACCCCCCCCCAATATATATATATATATATATTGAGATTATTTTCTCAATTCAAATGAGCAGTGGCTTGGACCCAGAAACAGAATTCCATACGTCACCGATGCGTCACGACTTAACAAGCGGATATGGAAGATAAGAGAGCTCTCTGATTTCATCTGAAATATTTTATTTTGTGTTTGAAAAATGAATAAAGGTCTCGGGGTCAGGGGATTCACTGTAATAAATGCTGGGTTCCAAACAATTCCTTCCTGTTGTCCCAACACAAATCAATTTTTTGAGTGTTGGAGGAACTTAATTTTTACAGTTATGCACATAGTTCATTTACTTAATATTTTTAAGGCAAAAGGTTTACTCGCCTTGTTAAATAAAGTCAACTAATAATTTTGACAGTGTATGGAAAATCTTTAAAAACATTTAATTGTCTTAGTTAAAACAAACAAAAAATGTTTACAGCTTTGCACTACATTCTCAGGCTCAAAATGACATAGACACAAGATGATAGCAGAAGACATTCTGGTTTCACTTTTCTACAATGGGTGAAAGCAAAGTAACATCAACCAGTTTATTACTAGACCAAACTACACTGCTGTTTTCCACACAATTCCTTCATGTTATTCTAACACAAGTTAAGTTTACAATTGTATTTTTACAAAATTGAGTAGATTAAACATAAAACAGTTAAGCTGTCCCAAAGTCACATGAATTGTGATGATTTAGCTCAGTTTAAGTAGTTTCAACAAGTGGCAAAAAATATATATATATATTTTTTGAGTGTAACATTCAATTCATCTGTACAAAGGCAAAACACAAAAAATATAATGTTCTTCTGCATAGTGCATACATATGTGTAACATTCGGCCATCTAGTGGGTATAAATAAAACTTCACAGAGCAATGAATAAAGTTATCAAAAGTGGACTTTCATGTCATTTTTATTGATGCAGATTTTGGTTTTAATAGTGTATTGAATCATTATAAGTGGCGAAATTATTGTTCTTAAGTATTTTAAGTATTTGTATTGTTAGAGCATGTTGAATAATAGAGTTAGCTAATGTTAACCAGTTAAACCTTATGATAAAGGGTTGAAAATCAAACCGTTGAAAACCGTTATGCTGCATAATATATTTAATGTTTTTCGTGTTTAGTCACCTTTGACTTGTACCAGTCTTCAGCCTCTGCAATGTTCTTGGCAGCGATGCCCTCATACTGGGCACGGATGTCCCTCAGGGCAGCGGTCAGGTCTGGTTTGGACATGTCCATCTGGATTTGGACTTGGGTCTCTTGCATCTGCGCCTGCAGCTCACGGATTTCCTACACACAAACAACAACAAAAAAAGCTGTGTAATAAAGGCTTGAAATAAAGCAGCACAGCATTACTGGTAATAGGACTAAATACACATCCACAAACAGCTGGGCCTGAAACAAGCATATCATTCTGTATTTAAAAGCTGTGTAATCTAGAAACAGATGCAGCTCTGAAAGCTAGACTTTCTAATTTGAGGTGAACTCCATTACAAAGTTAATAGCTTGTAATTAAAGTCTGCATGAATTAGAAAGCTGCGACCATTTTTTTTTACATTGTGATGCAGTTTCTAAAGAAATGGAATATTAAATGAGAAAATAGTGGGCGTGGCTTGTTTTTTAAAAAATACAGAGAAGCTACTTATTTTTAGAGAAAAAAATTTATTTAGTTAGTTAAATTAGTTAAATCAGTTATTTATATAACAGACTGAAAATCTTTCAATCCTTCAAAAAACAAAAACATTTCTGGTCACTTGACCTTGACGTTTTGAGTAATGGCTGATGAAAATTCAGACACCACATATGAAACCAAAATAATTGAACAAACGGGTTATTATCAGAGTATAGTAGGCCTATTAAAATGATGAAAAACTGTGAATATAACAACATTTTAGGTTTTCATTGACAATGAACAAAATAAATGACGTCTGGACGTTTACTGACCTCCTCATGAATCTTCTTGAGGAAGGCGATCTCTTCCTGAAGAGTCTCTATACGTCTTTCCAGATCCAGACGGGCCAAAGTGGCAGCATCCACGTCCTGTGAGTAAACATGTGACACCATAATAAAACTGTTGCATATTTTAATGTTCTGTGCAGGACAAGTGAGTACGGTACAAAAAGTTATTTCAACTAACTACTGGTTATCATCACCAAACTTCCCCAGTTGCAGTAGTGGACAAAGTAAACAAATCAGGCACTTGAGTAAAAGTACAGATACCCTAATAAAATATCACTCCAGTAAAAGTCCTCTTTTTCAGTTTTACTCGACTCAGAGTAAGCAGGCTTCTTGATTTTTAATTACGTGTAAAGTACTTTAATAGTTGGCTATTAGTGTTGTTAAATTGACAAGAATAGATGAGTTTTAGACAAGTTTGCAAAAATTCAGTGAATCTTTAATTGAAACGTACTCTTAATGGATCATTTGAATAAGTGAGAAGATTTACATTCTGACTGGATCAGTTGAATCAGGGAGTTGTTTTACAGGAAACTTTTCTGACTGGATCCTTTGAATCAGTGAGTTGTTTTACTGAAGACTCTTTCTGGCTGAATTATCTAGGTCACTGAGATGTTTTACTGGAGACTCATTCTAACTGAATTATTTGAATCAGTCTGACGGAATTATTTGAATGAGTGAGTTGTTTTACTGGAGACTCTTTCTGACTTGATCATTTGAATCAGCGAGTCATTTCACTGGAGACTTTTTTTTTTTTTGTCTGGATCATTTGAATCAGTGAGTCATTTTACTGGAGACTCTTTCTGACTGGATCATTTGAATCAGTGAGTCGTCTGACTGGAAACTTTCTGGCTGGATTATTTAAATCAGCGAGTCGTTTTACTGAAAACTCTTTTTGGCTGGATCATTTGAATCAGTGAGTCATCTTACTGGAGAATCTTTCTGACTGAATTATCTGAATCTCTGAGTTGTTTTACTGGAAACTCAATCTGATTGAATTATTTGAATCAGGGAGTCGTTTTATTGGAAACTCCTTTTTAGTGATTCGAGTATCAAACAAAAACAATATTGTGTCTCTAAGCAGGAGATGTTTTCTCCCTTTCAAAAAAAAACTTGAATCTTACTTACTCGGCTTTATGCAGGAAATCAGATAACGAAATTGGTAACAGATGCTTAAAAATAGACTTAAATACAGAAGTGAAGTAAGCTTAGCCTACTGTCCACAATTGGCCAGTTGATTAAATACATTAAGCATTTTTTTCTATCATGTATGTATTTCTTTGTAGACCTTTGTACCTTCATAACAGATGTGGAGTTCGGTGTATTTAAGTGCTGCTAAAGTGGAGATTTATGGCTTAATGCAGGAAAAAAAATTATATTGTGATTGAAAACTACAAACACAAATTGATAAAGTGCATTAAAAACATTTAAAAGTATGTGTTGGAAGTTTTCTTACATTAGACTGCAGGAGAAAACACTTTATTAAAGCCAAAATGCACAGAATCTTAAAATGCAAAGGTTTTAGTTCAAAGACTTTCTACTTTAAACGTGAAAGTCAAAAGAGCAGTAGGTTTTGGTTTAGGACACTCACAGCTCTGAAAGCAGACAGATTATTCTCAGCCTCCTCTCTCAGCGCGATCTCCTCCTGAAGCCTGTCGAAAAAGAAGAGTCGTGTATATCATATTTATTACAGCCAGTCTCTTTCCTTTCCTTTTATAGAGTGGAGGTTTAAAACAACCTTCACGCGAATGCTTTTCCCTCTGGGAGATGGAGGAAGGCCAGCACTATTCGGCTGACTAACTCCTGAATAGGAATAGGCTGCTGTAAACAATATGTTTCAGAGCACAATAGCTTTCTTTATAAAGGCAGTTCCTTTAATAACATCTCCAGGCCACCACATTGTATTTTGTGAGTAATTAAATGGTAGTCTCCATGAAAGTCATGTTTAAAAATATTTGCTTGCTTGGTCACTGCGGAGAGATGCAATTTGAAGAACATGTAAAAATTCTTCCGTTAGTCAGTGACAGCTGTGCAAATCACTCATTAAGTCATTATATAGAGATTCTAAGTGAACATGCTAAATGAACTTCTTGTTTATCTGAAAAACAATGCTGAAGTCAGATATTCTGCTTTGAACATATTCATTACAGGCCAGAATGTCATATTTGTCCCTTTAACCTGCCCACTGGCAGTTTAGCCAACTCTGGGTTGCCTTGGTGGAAAACAGTGCATTTCATTCAGTCAGTCAGGAAGGCTCTCAAAGTATGTGTCCACGACCGAAATAAGACCTCCGATGGACCGTAGCAGCCTCCGAATCGAGACATGGATTCACATGAAGTGGTTATTAATAAGCAAATAATATAAATATTTTCAAATGTAAACATTAGGTAAGAAGGTTACATTAAAACCCTGTGTATTAACAACAAGCTAAGTGATTAGATTTGCAGTGATAAGCAGTTTGGCTGTTTGTAGCAGACGAAACAAAACAGAAACATTTAAATACAGCCATTCAGAAGCACAGACTGCACTCACAACCAAATGGTAAAATTTATTATGTAATTAATACATGTTAAAACTCTTTAACATTATTAAATGTACATGCTAAATCACTGGTATTTGTCACAGTTCTAAAGTTCAGTTTCAAACACTTTTTTTTTTTTTTAAGATCTGAGGTGAACTATCTGCTGCTGCTTTCAGTAGTATGGCAATAAATGCCAAACTCGCATTATTAGCATTTAACAATGAATAAAGCACCTGAGGTGATCATTGTCATAGTTCTGGTGTTCAGCTGCAAGAAATAAAAGCCTTTAGCTGGATAGTCAGGCACGCTCCTGGGGTCCGTTCTTCGTACCTCGCTTAAATGATCTAAGATGATTTGGCAGATCCTGGATCTTTTAATCTTCATAACTGATCTCTCGCTGATTTGGTTCTTCAAACAAGTTCGCCAATCAGATCAGAATGTCTGGATGAACTGATCTGAGATCGCTGCGTGTGTTTTGAAGGACAGATCTATCGATCCTCGAAATCATGATCAGCAATGCAACGATTGGCTGACGGCACAGCAGCGTAATGACATCATCTGATTAATATTCAATTATCCATGTGAGCAAAATTACATCAAATTAGCAGTAAACGGTTTTTTAAATATGACATGCAATAACCTTCCACATTTGTTGTGAGCGGCTTTCCACTTTCATGTGTCAAGTGTATTCATCATGTATTTCAATGCAAATCAGTGTATTTAGTTCTACATTTAGAAAATATTTTCTTTATTATAGTAGCCGTTTTTAATCGGTGTAAAGAATAACTGGTTGTTTACAAAAGCATTTTGATATTGGTAAAGGCGTCTGCAACTTTTGTGAAGCATCAAATCACTGGCATATTAACTATCAAAACATGTTCATGACCGCATATGTATTATTGCTTTAAAAAAAAGAGTCACATATTGTGCATTTCTATTATACACAATTTGTACTAAAGCGATCTAAAAAGTTCATATTAATAAGTTTTCTCTTTGCACCACCATGTGGCAGTCTTTGTACTTTCATTTCGAGGGTGCATATTGCATAAGTTTTATTAATATGTATAACTTAATTTATTTTATTAATGACTATAACTATATATATATATAGTTAAAAAAATATGTAGGCTACCATTTTCCCAAGTGTATATAACTACTACTGTAAGAAAATATCAGAATTCAGAACATACTCTCTGTATTATCTTTGCTTGAACTGAGCCGATCTAATCCTGTTTATATGAATTGAACCTGCTCCCCATCAGGTTTGACCTAGCAGAACTGTTGCTATGACAACAACTCTCGGATCAGCTTTGAAGAACGAAACTATCCTGGAAAGTGTCAAATCGTCATTATCCAAATCCAGCTAACTGAGTAATCCACGTACGAAGAACGGACCCCTGTTGGTGTCCTCAATCTGGCAACTTGTGCTTGCGTGTGTTTTGAACCAGGAGTGCAATACCTAGTTCAACCACTGGGTGTCAGCATACTCATACCAATCCTTACATACTGCACCTTTAATGTATATTAAAAGTAATAACGGTCATAATAATGTACTCAAACAAAGAAACATTTTCTAGACATTTTTTAAAGTAAAGCAGGGAATGGAGGTCGAGTGTGTGCGCGGTGCAACAAAAGTGTAGTTTATGAAGGTTTTTGATGCTGCTTAGAAGTGATATTTGACAACCAATTAAATAAATAATGTTGTAAGATTAATATTTTATTATAATATTGTGAGATTAATATTTTGTCGCCTGTAGATGGCAGCAAGTCCTGTTAAACAAGTCACTGGATCTTTCAAATGATTAATTTCATTCAGACAAGAATGTAAACTTCATTTTATAGATTGCATTTCTATTGTAAAAAAATATGTTAATTTGGACTCTAATGTGGCATTCAGTATCATACACATATACAACATGAATTGAGCAACTCTTAGTGGCTCCATTGAAAACCTTAATACTCCATAAAAAGGTTGGATCGATAGACGATGCCATTGTCCATCGCCGATGGACATCATGATGCTGCATCGCAATCCCCAACCCCCGTCACAAACCCGCTCACGAAAAATACACACGGCCCCGTTTACACCAATACATCTTATTTTTAAGATAGTATTTTAAAACGAAAACGATCCACATCCACACTGGAGCATCATCTAGCATTTTTATACAGCGCTCTGTCCACACTATACCACTGAAAACGCACATCACATGACCACACACACACATTATCTATCAGGTAACGTGTCATAGCGTCAGTACACTGCTTCAATCTTTCACTTTCACGCTTGAACTTAGTAATTTTAGTGAAAACCTCAGATACTGTTGGTTGGTTGCTGTTGGTTGTGCACCTTTTTTACCAACCAAGTTTGTCGATGCCATTATAATGACACAGATCACTCTGCCTATTCATGTCAGAGTCCCGCGGAAAAAGGAAACTGACAGGTGGTCATTTATGTGCAACTTATCTTTATCTGTTTATGATTTGATTATGGCTAAAAACAAAGACCATGTGGGTCAGGTAGTAGAAACTGTAGGCTACACATAATAAATTCGTTATGAATTATTTAATTATTTGTAAATAATTAATTCACCGATGCCATCATCCTTCGTGATGTTTTACATACGATGCCAAATTGGTTGACATTGCCCAATCCTAATTTACACTGACAAAAGGTTCTTTAGATCATCAAACAAATGGTTATTTTAGGAACTTTCCACTGAAACGTTCTATATAAGGAAGCCAGAATGGTTCTTATATTCAGCATCTATGTGAAAACTCTATTTTGGAAACTTTTTTTCTATTTTACTTATTTCTAGAGTTGGCACTATTGTAATCTATTGACAGAAGGCATTGGCAGTATTTTATATCTTTAATATTTAATTAGAACGATCTATAAAAAGAATAAAAATGTGGATACTCAAGAATAGATGGTTGAAGAGATGTATATCTGCATTATATTTAATTTGCCAAAAACATTAAGAACATTTTTAAAGTTACGTTTAGAAAGAAATATGGAAGACGTTAAGTACAGTAACTGTGAAAAATTAGTATGTCCCACAACACAAACCAAACATTTAAATTATTTAAATGTTAACATTCTCAATCCATGAAACAATTTGAATTTAAACTGCTCACTTGTTGTTAAAAGAGTAGTCTGTTTCTGCTTGTGAAATCTTCACATTGTTATAAACGAATCAGATGTTTGTATTCCTCTCAGCACTCCGCTTAATGAGAAACAGTGATTTTACAAATAATTCATTTAAATGTAAATTTGGTTTGATTTGTATGATTTTCTTCACAAAAAAGGTTAATTTGTCAGTCATTTTTAGAGAAGGGTAGGCAAGAGCTCATAAACCTAAAACATACAAAATAGCCACATTTATCCAACCATGCAATTGTTGTTATCATTGCTGTTCAGGGCAGTAGAGTTCGTGATTTGTTTGTGACGGGAACAGATCAGTTTTGTTCCCTGAATGACTCTAGATTGTTACATAAAGTACTGTGTGTTTCTAAATATGAAACTCAAGAGTGGGTTACCTCCAAAAATATGTGCATAAAATTTGCACAAATATTAAATGTTCAAGCATGTTTACAATTTTTCTTTCCTTCTGCTCCTTTCACTCCTAAAAATAAATGTACTTTTTATAAGAAGTTTATTTATAAAGTAAATATAGCCATTTAGATTTTTAATCGCTTTAAACACTGAGGAAAAAGGCATCTATGACATCATTGCAAAAAAAAACAAAAAAAAAAACACAATTTTGTAACCTATATTTTTAAGAGTGCCTCTCAATAAAAAAACTAAGCCCATGAGAAATAAAGGTGCAAAGTTTTTTTTTTCTCCAAAGGTACACATTTGTACTTTTTAACTAATATTCTTCAAGGAACCAATATGGCTTTGTTAATATGTATTTTAGTCACTAATATATACAGTGCCGATGTAGACCCTAAATTTTCTTCCCCATGCAGTGCCAGTTTTGTTTATTTCTGAGACTAAGCTAGTTGTCTTAGATGTATAAGTCTGGCCTAGATAGCCAAAGGATCTTTATACTCTTTAAAATAAAGGTTTGCAAAAAGGGGATTTTAACAGCAATGATATAAAATATAAAATGTTGTTTTCTTAAAGTAATTCAGTAAACAGTCCTTAAAATAATTATATTTATACTGTAAAACCCAGCAGTCAACTTTATCAAATAAAATGAGTGCATTTCACTCAAAATTTACTGAAAGTTAGTTCTACTCATTTGAAAAGAGCTTTGAACTCAGTGTTAAATAAATACCTTATTACTTCAACTTAAATAGTTCACAGTTCACATATAGATTAGTTTTTTAACTCAAATGGTTTGTTGCAATCGGTTTCCTCAAACGGTTTGAGTTGCCTTAACTAATTGGGTTTTACAGTACTCAGTTGGTTTGAGTTCTCTTCATTTATTGTGTTTTACAGTACTCAAATTGCATCGTTTACTCAAATGGAACAAACCATTTAAGTAATCTTAATGAGTACTGTGAACTTATAATACTTTTATTACAGATAATAAAATAATAAATATCACAAATATTTTCCTTACCATGTATAATACTTTTATGTTTTGTGGCAAGTGCAAGTATTGTTTGCTATTAATAGTGAACAATACTTGTACTTTCTATAAATTAATTACTAAAACTTGTTACACCAAAAAGAACTAACGTAACGTAATCACTGAAAACTGTCATAAAGTAAGTTTGTGAAACTTAATTAATTTAATTTTAGTAAGTCAAAGTATTTTGTTTAAGATTTCACTTTTTATGGTGTATATATACATATGTATGTATGTGTGTATGTATACACACACACACACACACACACACACACACACACACACACACACACACACACACAAATAAATAAATATATATATATATATATATATATATATATATATATATATATATATATATATATATATATATATATATATATATATATATATATATATATATATATGCAAGGCAAGTTTATTTATATAGCACATTTCATACACAGTGGCAATTCAAAGTGCTTTACATAAACAGGAATAAACAAGACAAGTTTAGGACATAAAATGCAGACAATAAAAAAGTATTAAAAACAGATAAAACAAATTAAAATGAGTTAAAATAGGTTGTAAAAGAATGAAAAAGAAAACGAAAAACATAATAATGCAATCTGTCGGACGTAGCACAGTGCTCATACAGTAAAGGCACATATACACACAATATATATGTGTGTGTGTGCGTGCGTGTGTGTGTGTGTGTGTGTGTGTGTGTGTGTGTATATATATATATAAAACAAAGAAACATTTTATTCACTATATGGTAAGAGCATGTTAATAAAATGAAATGGTAAATGAAATGGATGTTAAAACATTCTTATTGGATCTGTCAGTGCAAATAAAGAACCGTTATTTTTTAAAGCATATGTTTCAGTGAAGAACCTTTTAACGTAAAAAAAACCTTCTACACACAAAACATTTTTTCTTAGTTTGCATCTTAGTTTTCATTAAAATGTTTTTAAAGGAATAGTTCACCCAAAAACTAAAATTTACTCACCCTCACGTGGTTATAAACCTTTATGAGTTTCTTTATTTTGTTGAACACTAAAGAAGATATTCTGAAGAAATCTGGAAACCTGTAATCATTGACTTTCATAGTAGGAAAACAAATACTATGGTAATTTTGCGTGGCAAAATGGTTCTTCTATGACATCGTTGTGAATACCCCATTTTGGAACCTTTATATTGAAGAATGAAGCAGGAGTTTAGTTTCCAGCTTATTTAAATGTGTTTTTTTTTCATTGGATGGTTGACATAATCTTAACTGAAAAATAAACAGAGAGCGGTACAGAGTAGCTCCTCCCATTAAAAAAGCCAATAGCGTTTTGTTTTTATCACAGCTCTACTAGTGTTGAGCTCAAGTGCATCAAATGAAAAACAAATGTATAGTGTGGGACATGTCAGATACTAGAGAACATTCGACTGGTCAGGATTTGTTAAGTAACTGTCTGAAGTGTAAGGTGACTTAAAAAATCGTTGATCCATTTAGGCATAAGTAAGAAACTACAGGCTGTGCATGTTTATGCAGTTTTTTGTTTTCTAAACGCTTATTTTTTATCACTGTTTTGGAGCGCACTAGCTAATTTAATAGATGACTGAAACTAACATCTAAAACATCTAAGACGCATCTAAAACAGCCAGACCAGAAGGTTTTTATTTTACAGTATTCGCTCTTCAAGCATCTCACCTGAGTTTCAGTTTCTGCAGGTCATCTGCCAGGTTGTCCCTCTCTACCTCCACGCGTGATCTGTGATTGGTCACCACTTCGACCTCCCTCCTGAGCTCCCTCATCTCGTCCTCATACAGGTCAGCGATGCGTGTGGGCTCCCGTCCCCTCAGCCGCTCCACCTCCACCCCCAGCACCTGATTTTGCTGCTCCAGCATGCGCACCTTCTCGATGTAGTTGGCGAAGCGGTCATTGAGATGCTGAAGCTCAGCTTTCTCATTAGTGCGTGTGTGGAGAAACTCCTGGTTGAGGGCATCAGCCAGACTGAAGTCTAGCGTCTCACCCATCCCACCATAAGAGCGAGTATAGCCTGCAGACAAGTTGGGCATGCTGTAGGAGGACGCTCGATAACCGGAGAATCCAGGAGAAGAAGTGGACGACTTGGAGACTTCGTAGACTCTAGAACTGACCCGAGAGCTGCCCGACCCACCAGTGGAGGCTCGGCCGAACACACCACGGGACATTGGTGGCGTCATGTAGCCAGGACCACCGAACATTCGACGGTATGAGGAAGAGGAGGATGAGGAGGCATAAGAGTGGCTCATGTTGGAGCGATCAGATGAAGACTAACACCCTCTGGAGAGGACAGAGACAGAATGAGCGCATGACATGCTCATCAGGGGCTATTTGTAGGTTTCTGCCCCCTCCTTCCCAGCCCCAAACTATACCTCTGTCCAGCTCTCACTCTCTCATAACATGTTCTCCATCATAAGTCGAATACATCATTAATAGCCAATCTTTCATTTCCTGACCAGCTGTCCCAGCTCTTGTCTTGGAATCATATTTTAGACTGACTTTGAACTGAAAAAGAGCAGAAAAATAAACTCAAACAACACAATTCTTGAGGGTTTTAGCACAACGTCTTTGTTTTAAATTTAACCAATTTAATTTTGTAAACTAACAAGTTAACTTAATTCTTTCATGTTTTCCCAACACAAACCAGCTGTGTGGAACCCAGCCTTTTTACAGTGTTTTTATTTTCATACATTCTGTCCTTATTAGATTCAAGAGTGTAATTTATCACCTCAGTTATTTAGTTGAATTAAAATTAAAAATTGTTTGGACCTCACTGACTTTCAAAGTACTATATATAGGCCAGGGCTATAATAGTTAAAGTGTTAGTTTACCCAAAAAAAAAAAAAAAAAAATGTAATCATGTTAATTACTTACCTTCATATCATTACAAACCCCTGAAACCTTCGTTCATCTTCATTATACAAATTAAGATCTTTTTGATGAAATTTGAGAGCTCTCTCATCCTCCATATACAGTACAGCAGGGTTCCTGACTCATTAAACGTACAGAAAAATACCAAGTAAACATCCAGAAAGCAGACTATATGCTTTCAGTGGCTTCAATTGGAATAGGCAGGAACCTTGCCATCTATGAAGGATCAACAAACTTCACCTTCTTTAACTTGAAACAACATGATATGTGATTATTTGTTATTACATTACTTTTGTGTTAATATATTGAGTAACAACTGAAATTAAAATTCATTTTCTTGTCGGCTTAGTCCCTTTATTAATCCAGGGTCGTCACAGCAGAATGAACCGCCAACTTATCCAGCAAGTTTTTACGCAACGGATGCCCTTCCAGCCGCAACCCATCTCTGGGAAACATCCACACACACACACTCATACACTACGGACAATTTAGCCTACCCAATTCACCTGTACCTCATGTCTTTGGACTGTGGGGGAAACCGGAGCACCCAGAGGAAACCCACGCGAAGGCAGGGAGAACATGCAAACTCCACACAGAAACGTCAACTGAGCCAGGTTCGAACCAGCGACCCAGCGATTGTCTTGCTGTGAGGCGACAGCACTACCTACTGCGCCACTGCCTCACCTGAAATTAAAATCAAATTAATAAAAGTACATAGACATTAAAAAATTAAGTAATGAAAAACAGACAAATAAATATCATATTATTACAAATATATTTTTCCAGTGATACTAATATAACACTTGTATCGGTCATAATGGGTTGAACTTGATCAATTGGAGAAATTATTTAATTTAGTTAAAATACTGGGCTGTCATAACCCAATGTTGGTTCAAATATTGACAAATTTGAGGACATTTTTTTAATTGGATTTAAATGACACTTTTTAAACCCATGTTTGGTTTTTCCTTGCATATTTGACCAGTATTGGTTTAAAACAAACACAGATTGTAGGTGATGGCATTACCTAATCAATTTCACATTGTAATATCTTATATAGGGCGACGCAGTGGCGCAGTATAGTGCTGTCACCTCACAGCAAGAAGGTCGCTGATTCGAGCCTCAGCTGGGTCAGTTGGCGTTTCTGTGTGGAGTTTGCATGTTCTCCCTGCATTCACATGGGTTTCCTCCAGGTGCTCCGGTTTCCCCCACAGTCCAAAGACATGCGGTACAGGTGAATTGGGTAGGCTAAATTGTCTGTAGTGTATGAGTGTGTATTGATGTTTCTCAGAGATGGGTTGCAGATGAAAGGGCATTCGCTGTGTAAAAAAAACATATCCTGGATAAGCTGGCGGTTCATTCCGCTGTGGCAACCCCAGATTAATATAGGTACTAAGCCGAAAAGAAAATGAATGAATGAATTTCTAATATATTCTTATATATCTGAGAGGAATAATCCTTAGATGTGTTCCATTACCTGATGAGCAAAATGAAAGCGCGTTCACATCAGGATTTTCTATATTACCACACTGATGCCATTTGCAAATGCTCTGATAACAGCTTGAGAAAATGTCACGTTCTGAGAAGTTCAGCTCCTGAAGTTGGTAAACAGATTGAACTGAGCGTTTATTTAAGCTGCCTTAAAAAGGAAAGGCATGAACAGGAGAGCATGAAGATGTACGTCTGTGTACCTTCTCTGGAAACGACAGGAGAGATGATCCTGTCCTCCTGCATTGGTAAACTCATTGCGTCATTATTGATAATGGTCTTTGCCATGTCACTATAGTATAATATAATATAATATAATATAATATAATATAATATAATATAATATAATATAATTTGAGAGTATGTGATATATCAGGTCATACAATAAAAAAATCACTTTTGCTTAAACTACTTATTTAAATTATTTTATGTTAATTCCAGTTCAATTTGTAAAAATTATTAGGATAACTTAATTTTTTTGTGTTGGAACAACATAAACGAATTGTTTGGATCCCATAATGTTTACAGTGTTTACTAATAGATTTGTGTTGAGACAACCCGAAGAAATAACATTAACTTATTAGTTTTTACAAATTTAAGTGGGTTGAACATAAACAAAAATGTTTTATCAAATAGTTTTCTGCTGTGACTATATTTACAATATTGCATGCCTCATTAATGATATAACTTTTATAATATAGTTAACAGACAACCCATCTATAAAATGCAAAAATACAAGTCAATTTTTTAAAGCAATCCTTTCTTTCTTTTTAGAAAGCTTAGTGATCAAATAAGGCATATACATTTTTACATGCCTCTGGTGACGGACCATGGTTCTTGTCAAAACTATTTATAGACAATGAAAAAGAGCTGGAATTCCATCATCACAAAAGCCTCTCTGGAAGCCTTCAGCTGATAGGAGACAGAGACCACAGGTGACAGAGGATATAAACACATCTTCTTTTCTCTGCTCACCCACACTGCTCCTGCATGAGTGTGGACTGACTCTCTCTCTCTCTCTCTCTCTCTCTCTCTCTCTCTCTCTCTCTCTCTCTCAGTTCAGTTCAGTTCAAGTTGCTTTATTGGCATGACATTAAATACAGTATTGCCAAAGAATTTCAAATATGAAACATAATAAAACCATTGAAAATAATAATTAATAGTAATATAATATTATAATATTATATATATATATAATCTCTCTCTCTCTCTCTCTCTCTCTCTCTCTCTCTCTCTCTCTCTCTCTCTCTCTCTCTCTCTCTCTCTCAGCTCTATATTTGGTGCACATGCATCTGAAATCAGAAGACATCACCTGATATTGTTGTAATATATATTGTAAAATGATACAGATAATATAAATTTTTTGATGACATGACAATCATAAGTGGCGGTTCATACTATATATATAAATATATACATAGAGTATATACACACACACACACACACACACACACACATATATATTCATATATATACATATATATATATATATATATATATATATATGTATATATATATATATATATGTGTGTGTGTGTGTGTGTGTGTGTGTGTGTGTGTGTGTGTGTGTGTGTGTGTGTGTGTGTGTGTGTATATACTCTATGTATATATTTATATATATAGTATGAACCGCCACTTATGATTGTCATGTCATCAAAAAACTTATCACTTATACACACACACACACATATATATATATAGCCTGGAAATGGCCAAAACCCCTCTAAAACCAGCCTGGTCGACCAGCTGGATTTTTCAGCAGGGTATCTGAAATAGTTTTCAAAAATGAAAATTTTTCTCAGTCTCCTATGCTTAAATGCTGTTATTTGACTTTAAATGCAGTGAAAATAACCTATTCATAACCATAACAGTGAAATATCTGAAACTACACGGAGAAAAACAAATAGAAAAGTGCTCATTTTAGAAGATTTCTGATGGCATTTGCATCTGAACTCTTCATATGTGGTTTGTTTTTAGTATTTGTTTGAAGTAAAAGTTAAATATTTGGAAATACTTTTCCCTATTAGGTGGATGTATTTACACCCCGCACTAATAATTGTAAAATTAATATGGTAATGAAAATAATTGTTCGGAATAAATAAGTTGATATAAATCTCCGTCATGCTAGCAAAACGTAAAAAGTGCTAATGTGGGCTGCCAGAAAAGCTACTTCACCTCCAACCACTAGAGAGCGCGATCCTCCTTCTGCTACAAGGCGACAGCAAATCCACAGAGCTTCCTGCCTTCTTCATCCCCTGAACTGAATGTGAAAGTCCACTTTTTATCATTTATGCAGGTAAGAAAGGTTGACGAGTAACTTTGTAAGAGCGCTATTTGTGCAGAGATTTATATAGTGGTTCTCGTGTTGAATTTCCGGTTTGCTAAGGGTTGTGATTTGGTAACGTTACGCTTTTTTAGGGATTTTTGCGTTTGTATGTCACTTCATTGCACATTTACAATACAAATGGCACCTGTCATTTTTAAGTGTGTGTATTAACTTGGTTCGAAGTGAACATTCACAAAACAAGAGTAGACCTGGTTCCACGTCTTACGTTAACTAACATTAGCATATGACTGTCTCCTGTCCCTGTATGCTATTTATTTAACACTTCTTTTATGATTTTCACAGTCTTTCATCATGAAAAGCTCCAAAGAAGCTGTACAGGCCGCTGCCAAAGAGTTTCTTAATTTTGTCAATAAAGGAGTTTCACCTTACCATGGTAAGAATGACACATGTAGTAAATATATCTTTATCATTGACATTTATAGTATATAGTATGTTTTTGAGTCACACTGTTGTAAAGCATATGAATTCATCTGTAAGTAGTAATATAAACAAATCATCTGAACTATAATACATTACACCACTGTTTACTGTAGTTAAAACTAAATCATACTGGCCATGGTTTAGCAGTTTACTATAGTTAAT